ACTTGGGAAATTCATGATTACTAATGAGGTAAAGCAGAGCTGACAACAGCTGCTAATTGTAATCATAATCTCAGGTTGCAAGTGGCAGATGTATTTTAGAAAGCATGTTTGATGAACAGATTTACTGGTGGGTGAGAATGAGGTCCCAAGATTTCCCTAGAAAATGTTTCTCCGTGATGTTTACCGTAGCTTATTCCGCTCTGGGGACAGTCATCCTACTAAATTTTATCAAAGCAAACAGAAGAATCACACATTACAATGTTGTCTCTGTTGAATTTCTGTTGGTTTTCCGTACTTAAATTGAGTATCAAAAGCATGTCATTCCTGCATATGTGTTGTATCCTATAGGGATCATCATATATCCTATATTTTCAAGCATGGCTTTAAATGTTGGCATTCTAGACTGTATAATTTTAGGGGCAAAACTTGAGGCTTATTTTTTCTCTCAATATGCTTTTCTTTTTGTCATGATCCAAGACTTTACCATTTTGGATACTTATAGATTCTACCTGGTTTATTATTTTTCAAGAATTTGAGGGCCCAATCAATAAAGTTAATATTTTCCTGTAGAGCAATGAACTTAGGAAATTATTAGTCACTCTCCTATATTGTGAGATATGGTCCCAAATTTTATTAGCAGTACCTGACCTAGGAATTTTATTCCTAATATTATATCTTGAGAAAATTATCATATATAGGGAAGAGTCTATCATCTATGCATCATTTTCTCTCTCTATATATTTATTATCTACCTATATATATTTTTTTATCTATCTTTATGTAGTTATAGCTATGATTTTGAAATAGTGTACGTTTAAGTTTCCATCATGATGTATCATCCAGGTGATTGTGTGTTATTCATACTGTGTATTTTTCTTTAAAAGTTTAATGCATCTACAAAAATTAAGAATTAATACATATAAATTGGTAGATATGTGATAATTAGTTTACTTAAAATAATGTAATCATTGATGAATTATTTATAAGTAGAATTCTGATAGAAATAGAAAAAATATAGCACTATAGTAACTACTGTGGAAAGAATTATAGATTTCTTATTTACTACAAACTTCTCTGCTTTCAAAGATGAATAATTAAATTTAACATGTCAAAAACATGTTTTAATGTTATTGTGTATATCCATTTTTAGAAAATATAAATAATGGGCTCCATTTGCTGTGACTCTAAGAAAACAATGATAGATAAAATATATAGAACGATTGTTTCTGAAGCAGTAGGCCCCAGCAAACATAGTAAGTCACCCCTGAGAGAAAAGGAAAAAGCAATGTGATGCATAAAGTATCCAGTTTCCTGTCGGAAGAGGTTTCTTAATATTTAAGCAGAAATCCCAAGTGAATCATCTGAGTTTAATGAATAATTCTGAGTGTCCAGGAAGACCGATATCCTTGGGGCATGCAAATCTTAAGCTGAGTGGTGATCAGCATTAATGTTAACAAATAAGTTCATAGAGTTCAGGAGGGAAAAAGCTGGGGTTAGGACATTGACTACGGTGGATCCTAATTCAGTACTCATCACTGCAGATGGTTATCCCACCCCAGTATTTCTCCCTGTATTCCTTCAGCTTAGAAGTAGTAGTAATCCCTGAACACTGCCGGCGTTGGCCCCAAAAGCAAACAAGATTAATGAAACAAATGAAAAAAATTTGAAATCATATAAATATTTGCAAGAATCAGAAGAGTGCTATTAACTAAATAATGCCTGGAACTCTGATAATTGTTCTGCTTTCCACCAGCTAAAATGGAAGAAATATAGCAAAAATGGCTTAGAAAGATTCTTTCCTTCTTTCTTTCCTTCTTTCTTTCCTTCTTTCCTTCCTTCCTTCCTTCTTTCCTTCCTTCCTTCCTTCCTTTCTTTCTTTCTTTCTTTCTTTCTTTCTTTCTTTCCTTCCTTCTTTTTTTTTTTTGCATATAATACCCAGCAATGAACAGGGGTTACTTCTGGCTTTGTGCTCAGTAAATTATTCCTGGAGGTCCTCAGGATGGGCATTCTGGGAATTGAACCTGGGTCGGCTGCCTGCAAGGCAAAAGCCCTACCCACTGTGCTATCGCTCCAGCCCTGGCTTAGGAAGATTCTTTATAGAGATTTTATCTTTTTAATTTATTGAAAAAAATTAAAATACTAAAGGACCACTAATAAAATGCAAACAGATTCTTAAAGAATTGTGTTACTGTTAGTTACTTGCCCATTTATTTGAACATACCTTAAGAATTTATGAAAAAACAGAGCTATAATTGCCTTAAGTACAGTTAAAAGCACGTTAGTACTCACAAAACAAAATTTTTATAGTAATAGGACCAGGGTGGTAGTACAGCCAGCAGGGCACTTGCCTTGCAAACAACCAACCTGAATTTGCCATCCAAGCATCCCATATGGTCCCTACCATCCAGGAGTGATCCCTGAGCACAGAGACAAACTTAAGTTCTCAACACCTCAGGGTATGAAACCCCAAACAAAAAAAAATTATAATAAACATATATATGGATTCAAAAATTATAATAAACATATATATGTATGCAAATATTTATATTTGAATCTCTTTCTAAATCTCATTTGTTAATTTTTTATTAACAGCTCTAAAAGAACTTTTAATTTTAAATTTGAAAAATAAAAATGAATTAAGGGTTATCTATTTCAGAAAAACCTGATTAGGAAGCTTGGAGATAAAGATCAATGGTAATTATTTTATGACTTGGAGAATAAAGGAAAGAGATGAGAAATAGCGTGTGAAATACATAACAATTTTAAGAGTCCTGGCATAATTATTATTACATGTCCTTGAAGAGAAGACAACAATATTGGAGAGAAGGTACCTGAACTATTTACCTAGTTTTAGAACAAGCATAAACTCAGAGATTTAAAAAAAAAAGATTGATAAACTTCAAGGACAAAGGAAATGAAGAATACTATAGCAATATATATCATCGGATTTCTTAAAACTAGTGACGACATTTGAATACACCCTGAGGAATAGCTGCCATGCTGGAAGACGGATGGTGCAAAATCTTAATAGGAAAAACCGAACAAATAAATGCCAACAACATCAATCTAAAATTTTATACCCCAGGAAAAATAAGAGCAAAAAATAAAAGAAGGAAAAAGGACAAAAAGCAAAAGTTGTAAGCAATCTCATTCCAAATATGACAATTAAGAAGAAACACAAAGGATGGAATGCACAAAAGGCAATAGCAAAGTGAACAATTAAAATGAATATTATTAAAAGGCAAAATAAATGTATATGCTTTAAACATTTCAGTTTAAAGGTGCAGATGCTAGATTATGTAAAAATGCAAGACATTATTGGGATTTTTTCTGATTTTCCAAGAAACAAAAGGTAGATAAAAAGGTACAATTGATCCAACAGCAAAATGATAGAAAATATATATTTAGAAAACTGTAACAAGGAATGATGCAGCATTAATATTCACACTGATTATGCTAAATAATTAAAAGATATTCTGGTATGAAATTTATACCACTAAAAAACACATTTGAATAAGTGTAAGTCTGAAATGAATAACCATAGCTTTCAATTAAAGAAAAATAAAAGAAGAACAAGTTAAGTGTAAGCACAAAGATGGAAAATAAGACAAACATTTTCTAAAAATTTAAGTTAGTGATAGAGAAAGTCAGTTATTTGGGAGCGTCAATAAGGTGTAAAAACATTTTACTTGATATGTTTGTCAGAGAGAGATATATGCAAATTACAGACTGCCAGTAAAGAAGCTATGGAAAGATTATTAAACTATTTTTGATATTTGAGCCTCACAAACACAAGCTATGTAGAAATTTTAGCTGTAGTTCATATATAAAAGATTTAGGGACCAGAGAGATAAAAAAAATAGGTAAGGAGCTTGCTTTGTCTATGGCCTACCTGAGTTCAATCTCCAACGTTATACAAATTCTGAGTACTACCAGGGCTGGAACTATAACATAGAGGGTAGGGCGTTTGCCTTGAACGTGGCCGACCCATTCGACCAGAGTTTGATTCCTCCGCCTTCGATTCCTGCGCCCCTCTCAGAGAGCCCTGAAAACTACCGAGAGCATCTCGCCCACACAGCAAAGCCTGGCAAACTAATCCTGACGTATTCGATATGCCAAAAGCAGTAACAACAAGTCTCATAACAAGTCTTTTAACAAATCTTACTGGGCCCACTCAATGAACAATAGAAGGACAGTGACAATGACAATGAGAGTGACCAGGGATAATCCCTAAGCACAGACCCAGGAGTGAACTCTGTGTATAGCTGGGCATGCCTCTAAAATCTGCCCGTTACAAATAATGGAAGGAGAAAGAAAGAAAGAAAGAAAGAAAGAAAGAAAGAAAGAAAGAAAGAAAGAAAGAAAGAAAGAAAGAAAGAAAGGAGGGAGGGAGGGAGGGAGGGAGGGAGGGAGGGAGGGAGGGAGAGAGGGAGGGAGGGAGGGAGGGAGGGAAGAAAGGTAGGAATGAAGAAAGAGAGAAAGAGAGAGAGAGAAAAAACTATTATCAAAATTATCTTTTCTTTAAAGTACAGAGCAAAGATACAGGCTAATTTATAAAGTAGGCTGCTCTCAAGCCAATAAACCCCATGAACCCCATGAAATCTGCACAGTCACATAGAGATGATCCTTTAAAGGAAAAAAAAATGTCTATTCTATGCAAATTATTCCACAAAATTTAAATAGTGTAAGCTAAGAATTTGTTCTGTTAAGCTATCTCCTATTGTGACTCCCCATTATTTTATTTATTTTTTTGCTTTTTCGGTCACATCCGGCAATGCACAGAGATTACTCCTGGCTCTGCACTCAGGAATTACCCCTGGCAGTGCTCGGGTATACCAAATGGGATGCTGGGAATCAAATCTGGGTCAGCCGCATGCAAGTAAATGCCTTACCTGCTGTACTATCACTCCAGAACCCCTCCCCATTATCTTATGTCATTTTATTTCTTAATAGCTTATAAGTCACTTTCCTGTAAGCATATGTTTTCATAAAATACTTACTTTATTAAATTATTCATGGCATCTGGGTCATAAGCTGCGACCTGGCCAATGATGCTGCCTTCCTTTACATCTTCATCTACTTCTATCAAGTAAGAAATTTTACTGAACACAGGTGGCTCATCTATATCTTCCACAAATATCTTCACCACGGCTGTGTCTTTGAAAGGGCCCAGGTGTAGGAATCGTGCATCCGGGTGAGTGTTACTTGCATCTACTCTTAAAGTGTATAGCATTTTGTTTTCAAAATCTAAATTCTGAAGTTAAATAAAATAAGAAAAGTCAGTAGATGTTGCAGACATAGCCATCCAAAACAATTTCAAAATTTATTAAATAGTTCACTTTTGCTCAAAATATTTCTTCAAAAAAAATCAAAATACACTATTATCATTTTTAGCAAACTGGTATCACAGATAAGGCTCTTTAATTTTTTTTTGTAAAGTCAATTCATTTTTCTTAGGCAATATCAGGTTGCCTAACTGTACATGTTTTAAAAGTAAAAATTCACACTTCTTCAAAAAATATGTCACCTTATGACACATATTATCAGAATGGCATTGTTTCTTCAGGTCATCCCCTGTGTCTTTCCCTGCTTCAATTCCTGCCCTTCTCTTTTGGTCTGAGTGACTTTATTTTTAGTTTCGTGTCGACTCTATTGTAGCTTTGCATTTCTCTCGATCCCACATAAAGAGTGAAATCTTCAAATAAACTCTCTCCTAATGATACCAGTAATTTCTATACTTTCCCAGATATTACTTCAAAAATGTATCAATTAACAGCAAATAATCACTCTCACTTTATAGTTGGTTTATAGAGGTTTCATCTAAATATAATTGCATAGACATTAAAGCAGATTCCAATTTCATAACATATTGTCACATTTTGATATTTTTAGACAAAGTATTTTGTGTTGGTATATAGATTCATCATTAGTATTAAAAGGTCACAAAAAGGTAAAAAGATAGAATAATTCAGAAATTTCACAAAATGTTCATGTAAGTTGCTTGGATAGTCTTAGATTTCTAAAGTTGGTATTTTAAGAAGAAAAAGAAATATAGTATAACAATTGGCCACCATAGAAAGCAAGGTGTATAGGGAAAAACACCAAAAGTAGGTCAAAAGTATGCTATAAACATTCAGCTGAATCATTTTGTGTTCCATGATGTTCTCCTACAGGAATTAAACATTTAGAAATCCAATGTCAAATTCATGGTATCTTCAGGTTGCATCCATTTGAATACATCATCGTATTTAGCAATTCTGTAATTCAAACCCGCCTACAATAGAGTGCTGCCTACTTTTTCTGCCATTGAGTGATACAAAGCAAGTACTTTTGAATTTATCTAATCCTAGTTTGACTGTTTGTTTATTCTAGGCATAAGAAGTTGAAATTTCAGATCACTTTTTAAATGATAAAGATGCTTAACTTTGAAGTGGAATCACACTATTCCCATTTACGGGAAGGATAGACAGCATGTAAAAGGTGGGAGCAATAAATCCTAGGATTATCTTCCCTTAATTGAAAAGCGAAAGTAAAGTCTAAAGCTCTCAAGGAAAAACTGAAGACAGCGAAAAGAAACCTGTTTGACAGTTATAATCCCTTCCTGTGTATCCTTGTCGGTAATGACATCAAACATGTCTGCTCCATCTCCATCAGAGATGCTGTATTCCATCTCAGCATTTTTCCCCACATCAGGGTCATTGGCTTTTATCCTGCCCAGATGAGTTCCGAGAGGTACAGATTCAGGAGAATTGAATTGATATGTACCTGAAAGTTAAATCAGAGTTATTTTGACATTTCCTCTTTAGATGACAAAAAGGGCTCATGTCCCCTGCCTATTTTCACTTAAGTAAATTAATTTTAAAATGAGAGAACTTTTCATCATATTGCACTATAAGCTCTAAAAGAATATATAGATTTATTAAATTGAAAAAATAATTCATAAAGACATAGTAATCTCAGTTTCTAACTGGGAAACGCAAGTTACAAAGAGATAAAGTGAATGTCCAAGTTATTTAGGTAATAGATAGTGAACCTGATATTATAATACAGAATTTTTTTTAATTAAAAATACATAAAAAATTACTTATTACATATCAGCACATCCGATACAGTCATTACACATTTAATAGTTTAAATGAATGTGCATTTGTACTCTAAGTTTGGGATGCAAAAATAAATTCATAGACTAAAGTTTCATGTTTTTTGCTAAAATTAGAATGAGAATGAACATTTCTGTCCCCTACATTTCTAACCAGTCATTATGTTAATTGATCTATCCCTGAAAGGATTTTATTTGGTATCTATAATGAGAGAAAGCAAAAACAAATTTTTAAAGTATGGTAATGAAAGAAATATTTTTACTCAATACATGCTGAACTAGGCACAGACACACTACACTAATTTAATTAACTTTACTAGTGTTCTATGTACCAAAATAAATATGTTCAGAGCAGTCTCCCCAAAAATCATAACGTAGGAAGAAAATTAACATTTGCTGTTTCAAATCCCACATTCTTTGCAATTAGCTTGTGTAAGAAGATGAACTCCTAATCTAAATCCAACTGCCTCTTTGGAATTCTTATCAAGTTTCTTTGCATGAGATTAGGATTAATTTAGTAGGATCCTCATTTTGAACATTTTTACTATTACTGTTACACTACCATTCACTTTGTAAACATTTTAAAAGACTTAAGAATTACAGAATTGCAGTCAGTAGAGAATTCATCAACTATTACTTTTATTTTATATTCAAGAAATGTAATGTATGGTTTAGATCTATGCTTATTAGTCATATTATCTCTATCTTTAGCAACATTAACATTTTCTATTTCTTATGGTTGTGTCCCGTTGATCGTCGATTTGCTCGAGCTGGAGTGATAGCACAGCGGGTAGGGCGTTCGCCTTACACACGGCCAACATGGCCGACCCGAGTTCGATTCCTCCGCCCCTCTCGGAGAGCCCGGCAAGCTACCGAGAGTATTCGATATGCCAGACACAGTAACAACAAAGTCTCCAATGGAGACGTTACTGGGCCCGCTCGAGCAAATCGACGATCAACGGGAGGGCCTTTACCTTTGGGCTGGAGCGATAGCACAGCGGTAGGGCGTTCGCCTTACACGCGGCCAACATGGCCGACCCGAGTTCGATTCTTCCGCCCCTCTCGGAGAGCCCGGCAAGCTACCGAGAGTATCTCGCCCGCACGGCAGAGCCTGGCAAGCTCCCCATGATGTATTCGATATGCCAGACACAGTAACAACAAAGTCTCCAATGGAGACGTTACTGGGCCCGCTCGAGCAAATCGACGATCAACGGGAGGGCCATGGTTGTGTCCACCATTCAAAGCTGAATCATCTAGTATCTATAATTTGATTAACCAAGAATAGTGCTTTATTTATTAGTGCTCTATTACAATTGATGTGAAAAACTTGAATTTGAAGTCCCTGAACTACACATTTAAGCTAGAGCTTTTACGCTTGCATTCACTGAAAAATAAAAATATTTTCAGGCCGGGAACTGAATCATTTGTAGGACTAAATAGCATGCAAAGCGCTTCATTGCTCAGTGAAAGTGAATAAATGGTTACCTCTTTAAAGATTAAATAATTTAATTTTCACTGAACATATGCATACGTGAAATAGCATCACAGCCAAGGGAAATTATTACTCTATTCATCACTAAAATAAAAACCCAAAACAAATCAAAAGAGCCATGTTGCCAATTAAACCCATTTGCATAAATTTTACTATAGTAAAAATACTACTACTATAGTATTTGATTCAGAAAAATTAATACACCAACAAGTTTATGTTTTTTATATTTAAAAGTGGCTATAATCTAGATATATTTACAACAGAAATGAGCCAAGATAGTGACAGACAATGGATTAGAACCATGCTAATTACAATTAAGGAAATTTACTCCAAGGTAAGAAAAGAGAAAAAGAGTTTAGAAAGCATCACAGTTCTTTATAAGACAGAATGGGGGAAATAAAGTTACTTGAACATCCCTATTACCTTGTTTTCTCCCGTGTACTCTCAATCAAAAAAACAATCGACACATTACTTTAATTTGTGGGAAATTTAAATAACTTGTGGAGGAGAGAGAATAAATTTGCAATTATGATTAAAATAATAGCAATTTTCCTATTACAAATATAAGATTTTCTTTGTGATATGTCTAAAACACTTTCCTATTCAAGATTTAAAAAAAAAAAAAACATTCTTACTCTGGGGAAACCGGGGAGGGTTGTTATTGACATCAGTCAGGGTGATGTTCACGGTGGTGGTTCCAGAAAGTCCACCCATTTGGCCACCCATGTCTTTGGCCTGTATAACCACTTGGTAATGTTCTTTATTTTCTCTGCTCATGTCAGGCAATGCAGTTTTTATGATGCCTTTTGGAAAGAAGTGCACACATATTTAGAGTTTGGGTTTTTAAAAAATAAGTCATGAAAGATTTATTTTATAGAACTTAAACAAAGAGATCAAATTTCCCCATACCTAAATCTGTCTTTCTATCAGTACATAGACAATTTAACATAATGGGTAGAATGGAAAGGATTATAACATGGACTGAATTGTTGAGGGATTGTGTTTTACAAAGTCAATATAATTATTCTTTTGATTGAAACATTAACTTCAAGAAAAATATTTGAGAAAGACAATCACTTAAATTTGAGGAGTGTCACACCTTTTATATCACAAAATGTACAAATATCTGCGCAAAGTTTTATTTAGTGTCATATGTATCAAAATAAAAAGTAAAAGCTAAATAGCTAATGGTCAGAAGTGACCTATTTTAATAGAGAATTTTCTTTTGTTTTCAAAGAAAAACAAAAACAATACCGAAAAGTCATTTTTTGAAATAAGGTAAAAAAAAAAACCCTATTAATTCCTCATACTTTTAAAGGCATCACATCATGTGAAAGGTACAGTTATCCAGTATCACTACCTGATTCTGGGTCCACTGAAAAGTATGGCTGTCCTTGCAGTATACTGTAGACCACTTTGGCACTATTTCCATAATTGGCATCATCTGCATCTGTTGCCGTCACTTGTAGAACAGATGTACCTACATGAATACCCAACAGAAAACAGAGACATCAATAGTTGTAATTTTTTAAATTTTGTTATGAATAGTATCTGATTGTTCAACTGATATATGCGGGGAGAAGTGTGTTTAAACGGCATTGGTTTAGGGACCAGAGAGACAATACAAGAAAGGGATAGGGCTTTTGCCTTATATGTAGATGACCAGGTTCAATCCCCAGCATTCCACATGTTCCCCAAGGAGGATGCTCTCCAGGAGTGATTTTTTATTGTACAGCCAAGAGTCAGATTTAAGTACCATCAAGGGTGGCATCCAAATCAAAGAAAAAAAAACGATAAACATAAGAAAAAATTGCTCAAAATTCACTTTTCTATTTCATTTAAGGGAGAAAAATACTTAAAAATTTCAGAATTTTTGCCGCAGCTGTTAATAGAAGTCAGAGACATATTTTATCTTCAAGATGAACATAAGGAGACAAATGAACTGCACTGTTAATTACAAAAATAGGACACATATTTAGTGATTCCATCAGTGGACATGCAATTTGCCTGTAGCATATTTATTGCTAACAGGGAATGTATATTTTAAGTAAAATGAAACATTCATAACATTCCTGTGACTTTTTATTCATGGAAATGAAATATAGATGCTATTCTTGTGAATGATCAGAACTGAAATAAAATTGGCCCACAGAACTTTTCTATGTTTAAGATGTGGAAATGCTCTTGTGGCCCATTAAACACAGTAAATTGGGGCCAGATACTGCAGTTATGATGCTTGTGTTGCCCTGGTCTAACCTTAGTTCAATTCCTGGAATCAAATATAGTCTCCAAACTGGCTAGGAGTGATGGCCTGGTCACCATGGTGTGGCTCCCAAACCAAATATATAAATAAATAATTTTCATATTCACAGATGTTTGTACCTATTGTTATTTCTAAGTATTAGCTGCACATATCTAAATCAGTGGGGCTGGAGTGATAGCACAGCGGGTAGGGCGTTCGCCTTACAAGCAGCCAACATGGCCGACCCGAGTTCGATTCCTCCGCCCCTCTCGGAGAGCCCGGCAAGCTACCGAGAGTATTCGATATGCAAGACACAGTAACAACAAAGTCTCCAATGGAGACGTTACTGGGCCCGCTTGAGCAAATCGACGATCAACGGGAGGGCCTTTATCTAAATCGGTAATATTCCAAAGTTTAATAATTTTTAATTAATACAATTTTAACTATTCTATTTTAATTGTGACACAATTGTATTAAAACAATAGAGTTTTAAAGGAGCTAGCACCAAAAGATAAGCATTGGTGGATTTTTCTAATTTATTTTATCAGATTTCTGTAAAGACACAATCTCGTTTCAAAAAAATGCTTTTACGTAAATAAGCATGAAACTTTGGACAAATAATGTATGGATAATATTTTCCTTAGTATTTTACATAGTAGGTTTTTTTGTTGTTGTTGTTTAGGGAACCACACCCGGAGATGCTCAGGGATTGTTCAGCACTCAGGAATTACTCCTAACAGGGCTCAGTGGACCACATGATATGCCCAGGATAGAATGTGATTGGCGAGATACAAGAAAAGCACGCTACCTATAGTACTGTCTTTCCACTCACTACATTATTTATTTATTTATTTATTTATTTATTTATTGTGGGGAGGGGTTTCACCCAGCAATGCTCAGGGCTTACTCCTGGCTCTGCACTTAGGAATTACTCCTGAAGGTGCTTGGGTGACCTCGCGGGATGTCGGGGATTGAACCAGGGTTGGTGGCATGCAAAGTAAATACCCTATCCACTGTACTATTGCTCCTGCCCCTCACTACGCATTTTTTTAAGTGTGACTTTAATTATTATTTCTTTTTAGATTTTCCTTTTAAAAAATAGCATGTGTTCCCTATGAGCATGCTGACATCCACCAACTGAGTTGTGGTGACAGTTTCTCAAATTTTGTGTACTTATAACAAAAAAGAAATGCACTGCATTTGTTGAACGATGCACTGCATCAAAACCAACAACTCATTTCCATCCAGTGTATCTGTATACTAGCACAGGACTTCAGCAACAGTCTCTATAATGTCTTATCAAAATTAACTCCCATACTGTGAGGAGCTGGACACTTCCTCTTTGGGGCCTCTGTTTCTTCAAATGCCTTTAAATTGATATGCCTCCTGAGGATACCCCATCTCATAAAGGTAAAGGATAGTTATTATGCTAAGTACAACAAACACCAGCACATTATAGATTTATCTTAGTTCGTAAGATTGTGGGATTTCAGAGGAATAACTCTACGGGAGAATAGGATTCGCCAGTCCAAGTATCATTACCGTTCCATCATCATGAAGACCCATCTATCTGCAACGTTGTCTTTCCCAGCATTCCTTCCAGTAGCCAAAGATTTTCTTAAGTTTAGGAGTGAATTTTGTTAGGTTTTGTCAAGTTGTTCCCTTTAGTGTCTCATATTCCACGTATGAGTGAAACCAATGGGGTGAATGTCTTTCAGTCCCTTATTAATTTCATTTAGTGTAACTATATTAAGGAAAACAGTCACTTGTTTTATCGTAAGCGCTGTAATTTCATAAGATTCCTTCATGATTTTTTAAGCTCCTTTCATAATAATGGACTGAATTTTAATATTGATTGAAAACAGCCCATAACAATCAATGATAGTTAAATATACAGGCAGTCTTAAAAACTGACAATTTTCACCATAAATATATTCATATATATGGAAAATAATGAAGTAACATAAACTTCCAAAGGTTAAAAAATCAAATACTGTAGTTATAGCACAAGACTGCTTTATCTTTATTTAGTGCCTTCATATTTATGAATCCTTGTAGTGGTGCGGGTGTCTTTTGAACTACATTCAAACATGCTGTGTGCTTACTTCTGGTATTGTATAAGGGATCGCTTCTGGTGGTACTCAGGAGAATTTATGTCATGCCAAAGATTGAACCAGGATTCTCAGTGGGAAAGGCCAGTATCTTATAGTCCTATCTTTTCAGCCTGAATTCTGAGTTCTAAAGTAAAGAACAAAGATTGATGTTCTATTTCCTCTGCCTATCACAAGAAGTTGCTTTTATGGTCAACTGATTCTATCAAAAGGAATTTCTCAAAATCAAACTTGCTATTCAAAACAATGCAAGCAAATTCTTTAAAATTGCTGTCACCATCAGATAGAACTGTTATATCGGGGGCGGGGATTGAATTTGACTATCATTTGAATAGATATCAAATAGTCGAAGCTGTTGATGAACTGTGATAGAATTTCTATTCTCAGGAAATATCTATGGTATCAGTTACAAGAGAGCAGTAAAAAATACGTATACGTTATTTACAAATAATTATAATCAAACTCGTACTTGAGAGTAGTCCCAATTATACTTCTTTTTTGAAATAATCCATTTATTAAAACTACATACTAATTCTTTTTTTTGCAAATGAATAAATGTAAAGTTAGTTTACATTAGCATATACATACCAACTCCAGACATTTCAGGAACACTTGCAGTGTATAACTCTTTGGTGAATTTTGGTTCATTGTCATTGATGTCATGGATCTTAATGATAAATTCAGATTCAGGTTCTACTTGTCTCCCAGTCTTTCTGTCTATAGCCTTGGCACGAAGAATGTACAGAGATTTTTCTTCTCTGTCTAATTTCTTTGCAGCATGAATATCTCCTGTATTTTCATCTATAACAAAAAGACTGCCAGCCCCGTCTCCTGTTAAGATGTATTTTAAATTTCCATCTCCTTTATCTTGGTCAGTGTGCAGCTTCAGAGAGGAAGAAAAAAAGAGTTCTGAGAATATAGGCATTATTATTATTGTAAAGAGATTGGCATATGTTAATTTACCTCCATATAACATTGCCCTAAAGAATATCACAGTGGTTAGCTAAATTTTCACTGTGGGGGAAGTAAAATTTTAATTTTTTGTTCTTCTTTAAATTTTTAGATAATTATATTTAAACATGATAGCAATCCAAATTCAAAACAAAATCAATAAGCATTTTTCAAAAGTATTTCAAAGATTATTTTGAAAATAACAGGCCCAAATTATAAACCTGTGATAAGTAGATGAGCAAAAAATGAAATATTAATATTAAAGTATAAATATAAATATTTATATTATTTAATATAAATGAAATAGAAATGATGTAATTTCTAACATTGCTATAAGCTTGCCAATTTCTGCTTGATTTCACCCATTGGTAGTACATATTTGTATGAGTACAGACTGTGTCAGTAAGAGATCAGGAAACAAAGGCTAATGTGACACATTATTATTTATAGAGTAATACTTTAACCAAAGAACTTAAATTTTAAAAACTCAACTTTTTATAGACATTTAAAATATCAGTGATAAAAAGAGCCATGGTTCTTTGTGCTGGCTACATATACAACTTCTTAAGGAAAATATAATTTTTTAAAAAATAACTAACTTTCCTTTTAATACATATATTATAAAAATTAACTTTTAAAATGTAGTGATATAGTTATTAAATAGTTAAAGCAAATGGGCCATGAATTTATAGAATCTTTAAATTGTAAAAGCATATTCATCTTTTTAATACTTATTTTTAATATATCCAGAAGCACCCTGTTATCTCCTAACATACTTTCATGATTGCCACTATATCCTGGCTACTTTTACATATCTTTTTAGCATACCAAATCATTTTGATTGATTTGGTATTTGAATCTCTTTTTGAAGATACCGCAATTATAAACTTGGGACTTTTCTTCCATTTTTACACTCAATGTAAGAAAAAACTGCATGCATCCATTTCTTCTTCTAAAATATTTTTTCCCAGTCATTCATCCATCTTTATATCTGTGAATACTGTACTGGTTGTGTCTTTCATTGTCCCTAATTCCTAATTTCCTCTCTCAACTGATTGCCTCTCACCTGTGGGTCTACTCCAATCTTTCATAATGAAGAAGTTAAGGACAGAGTTATTTTTATATATTACATATGATCATATTACTTCTTATCACAGGTGTTTATGAAAAATGTAAAAACTGTGTTTAAGAATTGAGCAGCTAAATTCTTGCAGAGACTCATGCAAGTCACTGAATTATATTATGCAAACTTAATGTGTTCAATCATATACAATATCTTCCACTATAAGGAAATGGTTTATTTTATTTTTATTTCTTTATTGATTTTTTGCTTTTTGGGTCGCACCCAGAGATGCACTGGGGTTACTCCTGGCTCTGCACTCAGGAATTACCTCTGGCAGTGCTCCGGGGACCATATGGAATACTGGAATCGAACCCGGGTTGGCTGCGTTCAAGGCAAATGCCCTACCCACTGTGCTATCACTCCAGCCCCAGGAATGGTTTATTTTTAATCTTCTCTTTTCTTATCATTTATTCTTTTCACATTTTTTTAAAAAGTGGTTTGTTTTGAATCATCTTTTTTCTAATCATTTATTCTGTTCACATGTCTTTCGTGTCCATATCTTGTATATTTTTCTATATCTTGTCCATATCTGCATTTATATCTTTGTCATCTTTACTTGCTCCAGCATGCAGCCCATATATATCAATTCTTTGTCTTGCCTAGCTTTGTTTTCATGTCTCAGAAGACTAGATACAGATTTAATACTTGATGGTTGCATATTTCTCTAACCCCTCCACCCCCTCAACCTCCTATGCATTTGTCCCTAACTAAATATTTATCATATCCCATTCAATTTTTCTCCTTATTGATGCCTTTCCACACACTATAGATTAAAATAGTTACACATCCCTAACTATAAAGTACATTTCACTTCTCTATCATGACTCTCTTCTCACTTGGTGTAAAGGTGTGCAAGGCCTCTAACTGCAATATCAAGTGAAAAGAATAGACTAGATTATTATTTTTTAATTTTTATTAGTGAAACACCATGAGGTACAGTTGTAGACTTACAAATTTTTTTTGCCTGGGTTTCAGTTATACAATGATCGAGTTCCCATCCCTCCACCAGTGCCCATTTTCTACCACGACTAATCTTAGTATCCCTCCCACCCACCCCCACCTCCCTCATCCTACCCTGCCTCTATGGCAGGGCACTCCCCCCGTTCTCTCTCTCCTTTTGGGCGCCATGGTTTGCAGTGGTTTGCATAAAAGAGGAACTGAGTGGCAATTGTGTTTGGTCTATGGTCTACTTTCAGCATGCATCTCCCATCCTGGGCGGATCTTCCCAACACCCTTTATTTGGTGCTCCCTTCTCTATCTGAGCTGCCTTTACCCCCAGATCATTATTTTTTTTTAATTACAACATTGTTTCGTATGTGAACTTTGTTTTAACAATACAAACAAAAACTATAGAAACAAAATAGAATGAATACAGTAAATGCAGATGGTAACTTTTTTTTTCCAAAAGGCCCATTTCTAGTAAAATAAGGAGACTGCATGTAAGTAGAAACAGGTTGGTCATTAGCTTCAAAATTTTGCCTATAAAGAATCTGTAAATGCATTTCCCCCCTGCTAGTTACATAAAGTGTAAAAAGGGAATTAAAGGAAAGTTTTCTTATTGGTTCCTACCAGCCGAAAGATGCTATATTCTATTTTAGCAGGGCCAATATACAGAAAATTCCTAAATTACATGTTATTACAAAATTGAAGCAGTAATGAGATTCTGGCTAAAGAGGGCACTAAATGAGAATAATACATATTTAAAGAAACCAAAACAAACAACAATAACACAAAGTTGTTATAAAAAAGCTCTAGGTACATTGTAAGCATATTTATTTTTTGTACCATCTTGAAACAATGGAAGTGATAGACTACATTTTAAAAATCATTATGATCTTAACATGTTTCTGAAAATACAAGTTTTGCCTTCTAAACTGCTCTTTCCCACATATATGCAATGGGCTTGTCATTGATTATTAGAAAAACCAGATTTTAAATATAACAAACCTTGCCTTTTTAATTAAACCACATCTTAGAACTCTCCATTTTTAGTAACTTTTAATGATTCCACTTTTTCAAATAACCTTGCAAACTATTTCGTAATACACATATTGGCACATATATTCTTGTATTACTATTAAAATTTTCTAAGAGGAGAAAAATATTTTAATGATGAAAAGTATTTAGGGAAGGACTGGAAATCTGGTAAGATAATTGACATTTATTGGAATAAACTCTTTGCTTTATTGATTTGTTATGTTAACTAATATGTAGTGGCATCATATTCAGTCATTAAACTTGTAGGCTACACACAAAGACACACACACAATGCATATAAACTTGAATGTGAATCAATGGATCAGAGCATCCCTTTTAACTAAAATTTTCATGATAGTGTTATCAAAATACAGAATTGTATGTTTATATATCACTTGATCACTTGATACCCCGTTACTCATCGATTTGCTTAAGCGGACACCAGTAATGTCTCCATTCATCCCTGTTGTGTGATAGCGTAGTGTATAAACCAAAAAAAAATGTTTATATATACATGGGCTGGAGCGATAGCACAGCGGGTAGGGCATTTGCCTTACAAGTGGCCAACATGGCCGACCCGAGTTCGATTCCTCCGCCCCTCTCGGAGAGCCCGGCAAGCTACCGAGAGTATTCGATATGCCAGACACAGTAACAACAAGGTCTCCAATGGAGACGTTACTGGGCCCGCTCGAGCAAATCGACGATCAACGGGAGGGCCTTTACCTTTACTTTACCTATATATACATAATAGAAATGTGAGGCTGATCAATTTTCAACTTTTCAATCTTGTTTGAAGAACGAAACAATAAAAATCCAAGATTATGCTTTTATATGGAGATGGTTTATATATTGAAATCAGGTACACTACTAAGTTCTTTTGGGGTTAATTTATTAGATTTGGCCTTTTCTCAACACTTATCCTAGAAAGTAGGGAGTAGTCAAAATAAAAATCAGGAGCAAGTTTAAGTGGTTATAACATTTCCTTGGAAATTATACAAACATTCAGACAAATACTATCTAGCTTCTATCCATTCACACTATTTCTCTGTATCAAATAATTATAAATTATTATATTCAACACTTATATTTTGCACTTAAATATTTTATTTAACACATTTTTGGAATATATTTAAATGTTCAGGGACAGGCTAACTTTAGTACTAAAGGGATCTAGACAAATTGTTCTTTTATTTGTTTAGGGTTTTAGTCTTTAAGACAAATCATAGATTAACCAATTTAAAAAGAAATTATCCAGGCCTGGAGTGGCCCAAAGGCAAGAAAACCAGGTGTCTTTTCAATGCAAATCCTGAGTTCTTTGGAGATGGAGAAGCTGAGGCACCACACAGAGAAGGGTTATCTCAAGAAAGAAGCTACTGGAAAATCTAGAGGTCATGATAAGCTTATGCATGGGCCAGCAAGAGTACAAGGCTTTCTTTGAAAAAACAAATAGATTAACTTGTATATTTGCAGAGAGTTCTAGGAGATGACTTTTGGGGAAATTTTATATACTTCTCCCAGAAGTCATTCTGGACAATTTCTTCCCCGCTCTGGAAAAGTCATTTTTCTCCCTTCAACTTTCCCTCAAGTTTCTCTAAATTTCTTTTAATAAAACTGAATATGCTTTACAAATAAATACATAGATAAGTAAACATCCAGGAACCTAAATCAACATCTTCTACTCAAGCTTTAATTCTTTCTTTCCCTGTGTATATACTAATATTTGTGGAAACAATTGTTTTATTTCCTTATTTATTTTTGGAGTCCTCCCAAGTGTTTGATTCACAGCATCGCAACTTCTAGAGCACGCAATTTTTCTTTATGGAACTTTGTCA